GTAACTGTGATGTTGTCAAGTGATGTCAGATGCTTCTTTGAGCAAATTGTTAGGTTGTACATATGTTTACATGTGCAAAACGGTAGGTTTTCTCATCTGTTAACTTTCACAATATTGCTCTCACAATAGGACTAATATAGAATGTTTTAAAATTCTATTTCTTGTTTTTTTTGGTTCTATGAAAGACTGAAAATTAAATTCAGACATACTCAAAAGCTTTTAAGAAAAGCAGCAAAAGGAAGTCTACACAGGCTTTAAATAACAATTTTCTTGGCAGACATGGAGGTTAAAAGTTACTTTAAGATATTAAACAGTCCCTGGAAAAAATCCCAACTCTCCCTCTCACTCAAATGAAGCATAGCTTTCTTGGCTTGAGCGAAACATTTGTTCTCTTTTACATGTTTGAAAAGAGTACAAACATTTTTTAATGTAGATTTTTTAATCAGTCCTGAAATCCTGCTGCCCATTACCTTACAAAGCTGGAAAGAAAGTTAAGGCTATGTATTAGATCACAGTAGTCTTAATAGTGCAGATCTCTACTGAGAACCACAACTATTCTTTGGTTATCAAAAAGGAGAGGAAACCTGCCCCTGCTTGGTCACTGTTGAAAAGTATGGCAATGGACTACCAGGGAGCTGTATTTGCTGGTTGGCCAGAGGCTTCCAGTGCAATCAATAATAATATATAATAATAAATTTTTATTTATATACCGCCCTGTGGCAAGCCAATCAAAGGCTGGTTATGTCAAAGAACTGCTTGCCAATCAGCAATTGCATGCATTGGGTTGGAGGCCATGCTTCTAGGGAGAATCTGTGACCTTCAGTCTAACCAAAGTCTGATCATTTCCACTTGGAACTATTATTTAACAATCACTACATCGCAACTGCCAAAATTTAGAAGAAAAAAAGCTAAGCGTTAGCAATCATGGGTCAGTAGACAAGAAGGTTTGCCACTGGAGTAAAAGGACATACATTCAAATTCCTTCCCAGTCTCACTGCTCACTGGGTGGCCTTGGGTTGGTCATCTCTCAGCCTTATCTACATCATAGCATGTGATGAAATAATAAACTATCATCATCACCATCTTCGCCACCAACATCACCATCATCATAATTATTGTTTATACCTCGCCTTTTCCCCAAGGCACTTAAGATGGCTTACACTTTTTTAAAGTGTAAAAGTGTACTTATATATGTAGGTAATTTGGTCAGCATGGTTTGGTGTTTTGAATTTGATTTGATTTTAATTTCATGATAGTTTAATTCTGTTTTAAGGGGTGGATGGGTCAGTGGTGGGAGTATGGAACTGTTTTAACTTGTTATATTTTAATCTGTTGTATGCCGCCCCAGTTGCCGAGCAGAGGGGTGGGTTATAAATAAAAATTATTATTATTATTATTATTATTATTATTATTATTTTAAAAATACAGTTAAAATCATAATAAAAACAACATCAGAAACAAATTAAACTATTATCCATATTAAACATACACTCTAAAAGCATACACCTAAAAAGGATTTTTAAAAAGTTAGGCAATACAATTTAAAATGATACAGGATCATTAACATGATTAAGATGAAAATGATTCAAGTTCATTAACATGCCATGTTTATTATTAATCAGTGTGAAAATCAACAATGAAAATTATATTTGGGTAATATGATGATGATGATGATTGCTTTGGTTCTTAAGAGGTAAAAATATTTTTCCCAATCATTGGAGTACTTTGCATTAAATGAATAAAGGGTGCCAGTCAAAATTATGCCAGGTCCACAAGCTCTTTTATAGCATTCCAGAGCAACTCCATATATTTCACTCTGTTTCTGAGGTTCAGGATAGTTTTGTTTTTGTTTTTTAAACACAGTCCTTCTACCTGCCTGGAAACCAGACTTTCCAGTCAAGCAGTTCATTTGTTTACATTTGAAAGATGTGTTAATTAATAATCTCAGCACATGAGAAAGCTTAAGAACAGTAATTATACAGTCTGCAACATGTCCCAGTGCCAACAAAAGCCTTTCTAACCACCGACACTGTAGCCCTAGGCAACACCACTGTGTCCTGTTGAACAGTCTGGTAATGTCACTAGACCTAGAAGCAGGATATGAATGGCGTCAGTTCTAGTTCTAGTTTGACAGAAGATGGGGTACCAAAACGGCAGAAGTATTTTCACTGAAATGCCCACTTTGAACCAATGTCTCTTTTATTATAAGCCAACACTCTTGTCTTTTAGTGCTTCAGCTTGTTTAGAGCTGCCATAACAAATAGACTAGAAATAAAATAATGGCTCAGTGAAAAGGCACTTGCTCTGCATGAAGAAGACCCCAGGTTCATACTATGACATCTTCAGTAAAAAGAGTCAGGTAGCAGGTAAAACGGGGGGAAAATCTCTAGCTGAGACACTGGAAAGCTGCCCACAAGCAGAGTAAATAATTCTGAGCTCTGGAAGTCCCTTTTTAGGGTGGTTTGTCTACTATCTTCTTTCTCCCATACTACAGCTTCCCACAAGAATGATTTTGGTAATCTACACAGCTCATACTCCCTCCCCACACATCTGCTCATTATCCCAGGCTGTGAATGATATACAATCATTTCTTTTCCCAGCATCACCAATAGGATAGCATACCCCATCATCCTGCATTACCATACATATGCTGAAGAACAACAAATAAGCATTGCATGACCACATCTGAACCATCATCCTGACAACAAGGCAGCCATTGGTAGACAAAGCTAGAAGTTATGGGCAGAGCAATAGGTATTGCAAATACAGGCATGCAAGCCCTACACACACACACACACACACACACACACACAGAGGCATTCTTTCTCTAAATCTCTCTTTGACTGCCCTCTCCACACTCACACAGACAGGCCTTCTATCTATTTACTTTCAACTTGCATCTATTCATACATTCATAGAGACAGACACATATCTCTTCATGCTGCTAAAACAAAACAAAACAAAACTCTACATGCCATTGGTAGACTTTGCAGCTCAGTTGTGAAACAGGAAAGTGCTACCACTTGCAAATTACAAACATTCCTACTACTGGCTGCTGCAGCTGCTTCCTTCTGTCAGATTTTAAAGGCAGGTAGTTGGTTTATTTGCTCTTACTCACTGCTAGCATTGCTGTTGCCACCAATGGTTTCATGGGGAACAACAAAATGGCTGGCAATTCTTGGTCTCTTGAGCATCCCCAGAAAAATATCTTTCTTGTAAACATAATTGGCTGTTGGGAATAACAACAACAACAACAACAATTGTTTTGCTGCAGGTGCTGCTTTTCCTCCTATGTTTCTTTGTTTTCTTAGGCCAAATTCCTGTGAGCTGAATTGTTTTATTGCTATATTTGGTTCATGAGGAGTTCTGGCCTGCAAACATCCAGTCTTAATGACTGGATGTGTCTTCTTTATCTTTCTTGTGTGAAGACCAAGGAGAGGAGAATGCAGATAATGCAAAAAAAGTTTTCCAGATGAGAGAGACATTTCATGGGAACTTTGACCAATGGGTGTCCATACAGCTTATGATGTAGTGGAGGCTGCCAAGAAGGGAGTGGTTGTTTTTGTTTGTTTATTTCTCATCCTTTAAGACAACATAAAATGTTGGTGGATATAGCACATACCCCTTGCCCCCACTTTTACCAGTTATTGTTGTATTTTAGTATATGAAACATGATTCTGTCTTTGAACTCATCTTGGTTGATAAACTTAGAAGTCAGGGAAATTCATACAATCTATTGGAGGTCTGTTTCTTTTGCATTGCTTTTCTTGTTACTGCTATTCTTGCTTTTTAAAAAAAGATTTCCATACTTCTTTCCAGAGGCTTAGTCTTGGAAAAGGTTCTAAGAATGCTAAAAACAATCTTCTTGTTGAAAAAGAACTTCAGAGCCATATTTTGACAATTCAGGTGTTCGTGAAGAAATAGAAACTGTATCCTTTGAGCTGCAGAGTATCGTGCAAATAGATATTGCACCCCAAAGCTGAACTGCTCAGATATAGTGGTTAGACTGTTGGACAAGGGCTTGGGATATCTACATTGAAATCACTGCTCAGCAGTTACCCCTTTGGGACCTTGAAACAGTCAATCTCTCACTGTGCCCTACCTCCATAGTGTTGTTCTGTGGATAAAATAGAGTGACGTGTACTGTGCATGTTGGTTTCATGGCAATTCCATGAAATGCATAGGGATTTCCTAGGCAAGGAATACTCAGATGTGGTTTTTCGAGTTCCTTACTCTAAAACAGGGGTAGGCAACCTTTCCCCTTTAAGGGCCGAGGGACTTCAGCTCCCAGAATCCCAGGAGCTATTAGCCAACATGGGACTATTGGCCAACATGGCTGAGGCTTCTGGGAGTTGAAGTCCCTCGGCCCTTAAAGGGGAAAGGTTGCCTACCCCTGCTCTAAAATATGGCCTACAGAACCTAATATTCATTGGTGTCTCCTATCCAAGTACTAAATGTGGCTGACTCTGTTTAGCCTCCAAAATCAGACAGGATCTGGTGCTTTATTTAGCACCAGAGTATTTAGGCTGATTGACAGAAAAGGCAGGATAAATATAAATAAACAAGCAGAGGAACCATTTATATTAAACCATTAATAATATACACCTTCTGATAAAAAGGACATTTAGAAATACTGACAACTGAAGTCCAGTTTAGATGAATCACTAATCCACAGTTTAGTCTTAAAATCCAGTACAGTACAAGACTGAAAGTGACATGATACCTTTGTATTCATTATTTCCTTGGCTGTACTCCTCTTCTGTCATTTTATTTATTTATTTATTTATTTATGTATTTAAAATATTTATTATTTTATGATCCTGTTGTTGTTGTTGTTATTGTTGTTGTTGTGTGACTTCAGGTCGTTTCCAACTTATGGCAACCCTAAGGTGAACCCATCATGGGATATTCTTGGCAAGTTTCTTCAAAGGGGGTTTGCCATTGTCATCATCTGAGGCTGAGAGAGTGTGACCTGCCCAAGGTCACTTAGTGAGTTTACTTGGCTGAGCTGGAATTTGAACTCTGGTCCCCAGAGTCATAGTCTAACACTCAAACCACCACACCACTTACCCCAATCCCTATGGGAGCATGCAGTAAAAGCAGTTCAACCAATTTAAACACCATAAATAAGTAAGGAATAATTTAAACAAACAAAAGGACTATGAATCAAGTTTTTAAAAAGACTAAAAGGCCTAAGCAGACTGCCAGAAATAGTGCACATTAAATTGAGGCACTGCCCTGGCTCAATGCTACGGAATCATGAGAATTGTATTTTTTTTCTGAGACATTGAGCCTTGTCTGTCAGAGAGCTCTGGTGCCACAATAAATTACAGTTCCCATGATTCCCTAGCACTGAGCCAGGGCAGTGCCTCAATTTAATGTGCACTATTTCTGGCAGTCTGCTTAGGCCCTAAAGCTAATTTAAACAGTTTAACTTGAATGCAATTGAAACTATGCACATATGCAAATTTTTATAAAACCAATTAGGGCCCCAAGGCTTTAGCAAACAACCAACATAAAGACAGCAATGTTGGCACCAATTGGACTTTTGAGGGGAGGGTATTCTATATCTGGGGTGCCATTGCAGAGAAGGCCCTCTTCTGTTGTATCCCACACCTATACACACACCCTATTGGTGGGACACAGTGAAGAACCATGTGAGTAGACCTCACTCCTCAAGAAATTATATAGAGAGAGGGGGTCTCTTTCAACTGCTGGTGTAGTTACTGTCTGTACGAGATGGTGATCTGAAACTCTGGTCACATTTCGCATCATTTTTAATGTAATTATTTTGTAAAAACATAGGAGCAACCAGTCCCCATCAGTTCCTCTATTTGAAGCTTTGGAGTTGAAATTGAAGTTCAAAGAATCATTACCGTTAATGCTAAAGAACTGCAATAGAACTTGTCCTCTCTTCTTAACAGATGTCTTTTGCTCCCTTGTAAATTGCCAGGGCATATTGGAAATACAGTGTACTGGAAAGCTATTTTTTTCCACAAAAGGTTATATTTTTAACCATCAAAATTCTGTATTAAAAAGTCAAGATGGCTTGAATCCAAACCAAGCTGCAGGAAACAGATGTAGACTTGTACAGTATAAGGATTTCAGAATAATTTCTTTCCAGGAATAGTAAAGAGAATACTATACATTTTGATTTTTGCTCTCTTGTTCATAGCAGTGAATATGTTGCTCCTGCCAGTTTAGACAAGTTAGTATTTTTATGCTGACCATGCTGTTTGTATTCTGAGATGAACAGAAGACTATAAATCTGGCATTTTTCATGAGATTAGAGAAAAAAAAATCAAAGAGAAATGTTGTACTCACTGTAAGAATTAACAACAGTTTCCAGAGCATAACTACAGTGGAATTGTAGTTATGTGGAATTGTATATTTAGCTTCTCTGTGAACCTTTTCCAAATGAATGGTTTGTAAAAGATTAAGCTCTGCCTTGATTTTAACCCAGCAAAAGAATAACTTGTTCATGTTAGTGTGACAACATTGTCTGGTAACAGTTGTGGGCGTTTATATTTTAAGGCATCCTTTCAACACCTTAACAACTGAAACAAACTGCATTTCAAAATGCTGAATGTGGTTGATGGTATATATTATTAATAACTGGGTGGACTTGCTCCTACTTGGAAAAGTTGCGGTTAACTGCCTTTGATTCAAACCTTTTCATTTCCTTTTGGAGAGTTCCTTTATTTTAAACTGTGCCTCTCAAGAACAAGTGCAAAAACCTGGCTTGGCTATGAAGTGTGTTCTGTGTGCCAGTCTTTGATGCTGATTGGAGGCTGTCCTAGGTGCACTGGAGGTTACAAAGCATATAAACTGTATGCCTACATATTTTCTAAAGTGGTGTGGGTGTATTGCGACCCATTGCTGAATTGGTGTATTCATGCTGTAGTGCTCAATGGAACGTGACAGCATTCAGAATATAAGGACCATGGCTGTGCCCATTCCAGACACACAGCCCTGCCTGCTCTGATCTCTCTCCCTACCCCCTGGAAAGCTGCCCTAATTAAGGGAGCCAGGGCCTATTCAATTGCTAGCATTGTGTCCTGTTAGATCCATTGTTTTGTTCTTCCACTAAGAAGCCAAATCTAATTTTATAGCACCATGTGTGGCTGAATTTTCACTTCATTAGTACAACAATTTCCCTCCCTTACACATTTATAGCTACTGCTGCCTTCACTGACTGCAGTTTGCATCTTTTGAATATCTTGATCCTGATGCTTCGCAGAGGCTGGAGCCATCACGGGTATCGTTGAATTGTTAAGGCAAAAGATGGAGTGCTACACCCAGTTCCACATGCTTACTTTTTACTGAAATAAGCAGAAACAAAATGTATTGGAAGCAGGAAACACAGTCTCTGCTAGCAACATCTTTTTGTCTTCCATTCATAATATGGCTTTTTGGTTTTTGTTTGGTGTTCCAGGGTGGTCTTGGTGGAAGATTGCTGACAAGCGTTTGTTTCATGTGTGTGACAGCAAGAAGGGGAGGGATTACTAATTTGTTAAAGTAAGTTCATTGTAAGCATGAAGGTGATAAGATTGCTCCTGTACCTCTGCCCAAAGAATATTTTTTAAAAGTTGCACAGAAGTAATTGTATGTAGCTGGTAGCCTGGTATAATTTTTAACCACCACAAACTTTGTAAAGATGTCTGTGTGATAAATAGTGGTTATTATTTGTCCACCTCACTTGTACTTTGCTCACTAATCCATCTCCTGAGGATTATTTCTAACATATTAATCTGTTTCGCAGATGCAAACAGCCCTCTTTCTAAAAGTCTGAGAACTGCTTTTTGTGTGTGTTCTGTAAATGTATTATTTCTCCTTCTTGAATTAGATGGCCCCAGAAATTTCAATTCTGACCATTAACAGGCTTAATAAAATTTGGTACATTCTGCTCTCCTGGGGTTTGAAATACAATAAAATGTGGCTGGTGTACCTGCAAAATACATTTTGTCATGTGCTTGGAACATGCATGCAGTATAGTGGCAACTGGCAGCTTCTCTGTCAGTGAGGCAGCAAATCTGCTCTGGGTTTTAGTTAGAACATTAAAAGAGCTATCCATGGTTCAGCACCTTGGACAGCTCCTGTAAAGTCTGGACTAAAATCTCAGAATAGGTTTGTCATTACACTGACACATAAACCACCAGCTACCATTACTACATTGTTCATATATCAGTGTTATATGATCAAGATACATGTGTTAGCTTATGTGCTGCCAGTGGATGAATTAGTGTTACAGTAGTAAGTTGGGAGAGGAGGGGCTGTGTTTTGTCTTTCTTGTGTACTTTTCAGTAGTTTTCATTTTTTTCAGCTGTTTCCATCAAATTTATATTGATTCAAAGACTGCATTCAGATGTAACAGCAAACTTTGTGCTTGAGTGCTCTTGTTCCCTTCTTCTTTCTTCTCTGTACCATGTGAGGATATTAGAAACTTGTGATGTTGGTTTGTGGCAAACAAGAGTTTGTTGAATCATCTGAACCTGTGTAATGATAGAATTCAAAGACATAGCTATGTTAGTCTGGAAAATCAGCATGCAAAGGGATCTTGTAGTACCTTTGAGACTAACTGAAAGAGAGAAGTTGGTAGCATGAGCTTTTGTAAACTTGAGCCTATTTCCTTAAACGCATGAATCTGAATCATGGAATCATAGAATCATAGAGTTGGAAAAGACCACAAGGGCCAT